GGCTCTGGCTGTCCCATGGTGAATTTAACGTTGTGTTTGTGTTCAGACTGTGCTTCGTTCAGTCTGTCCCTGTCGGGTAGCTAATGCTAGCAAGCTAGCTGTCGGAGTCTCAGTTTTGCTCTCTCTTTTTTGAAACCGATTATGAAACTAGACATTTCTGTTCTGTAAATAATTGAAGCTTTTACTGATAGCCAAAGAGTGTGAGATTGGTATTTTTAAATCATGACAGCCTTGAAAAAAAAACAAAACATTATTGCTCAACCGTCTTGCACGTAAAGTTCTTTGTTTTAGCCTCCAAGATTTTCCTTTTTTTGGCCATATTGCTGATCACTAGACATAATTTTAAATGGCATTTTTTACAATTGTCTGACATTTTATAGTCTAAACAACTAATCAAAGAATTGGGGAAATAATGAACAGAAACCATGATGATGGATGGATTAAATGATGATTAGTTTCAGCCCTACCCTGCCCATTTCAAAATTGCCCTCAGACTGTACATCCTGATATATTGACATCTGTAATTTACCATACAATATCAATATCTTCATATTCAAAATTGAAAAATTGTAGCTTGATGTATGCACCAATAGCAATAATTGCTTTTCTCTGTTTATTATCAACAGTGTACCAGATTTAAACCAGGCTAAAATACATGCTGCAAGTTAGTTATTCACCGTGTCCAAAGCAGACCACCTGATCTGCCAACACAGCATTATATTAATAATAGAGGACTGCAAACATTGCACTTGCTGAAATGAACTGAAGGAGGTGAAAGTCTGTGGCACGCTTGAAATCAACCGGTCATACTGCACAGCAGAAAAATGACAAAGCCTTTCAACACTTCTATGGGAACCAGCAATTCTCCCCGTAGGGATAATACAGTTAATCTAACCCAATCAAAACATTCACACACGTCCAGCGAACCAGCGCTCTGCTGACGGCCCGAGAGTTTAGCAGCACAAACCACTTTCCAAACATAATCTGAGATTGTTTTAAAATCGTTTGACAAAGACTTCGTACAATGTACCACAATGTGTTCTCCTTAGAGAGGTTATTAATACACTGGCAACAAACATGGGTGGTTTCTAAAAGGGCTGGATTTCCCATTGTAATTCGCTCATTTTGACTCTTGTTTTGAACTTCAGTAGCCAATATTGAGACGATTTTGAGTACAGTAAATTGTGGCAGTGGTGCATCCATCCTTTTCCACACATATTAATCCTGAAAATGTTTGGCTTTTTATCAATTTATGGCTACTTTTGGTTACTTTTGAATGTTACGATATGATAGCACACGTGCATGTATCTGTTTTAAAATGTGAATTCTACAGTTTGTTACCCACTTTCTGTAAGACTAACTCAGAATACAGTGGCTAAACCCTATAACTTCAGTAACACAACTACAACTGTAGCGATTTGTTGACTAATCATATAGTTTATTGTTTGTCGACAAACATCAGTCACCCTCCTGATGTGCATTGCATTTTGCCAAATTGCCTGTACGGTAATAGCTTAGGCAATACATCCTGTGATTCCTAAACATTGTTGCAATCCATTTTGAAAGCACTGATTCATTTACAAACGAGAGTACACACATAATGCTGCTCCACCTCTTCGGAGCCCCCACAGGAACAGTATGAACTCGTGTGTGGCTGACAGAGAGACAAGGCTCTGAGCGCGCGGGGGGCGGGGGGGTGGAAGACGTACTGTACATCA